ACAAAGAAAACTCATGATTAACAACAAAGCACGAATCAAATGGTAGATTGAAGGGAATTCTCTGGCCAAAAAAGCTCTGGTAAGTAATCTACCGGCTTTATGTGAGAAACCAAAGCAGTTATGGTCAAACTTGAAGCGCAACGTGCATCGGACACCAAGGAGTTTACTGGGTCGAAGCGCAGAAGAAGAATTGACAAAGAAGGGTGGTGGAACGATGAGGTTCAAACGGTGAGTAAGGAAAAGAGCCAGGCATACAAGCAATGGCATAAGTCGAAATTGGAAAGCGATCGATAGTTGTGCCTAAAAATGAAACACGCTGCAAAACATGTGTCAAGAAAACGAAGAAAGCATACGTAGAAGAGCTGTATAAGAGATTGGAATTTCGTGATGGAGAGCGCGAAATATACCGATTAGTGCGAAGGAGGGCAGAGTCCGCAAAAGATATGGAACACTTCTACCAGTGAAGGATAAGCTTGAAAAAATCTTAAGAAGAACAGGAAATAACTGAGATATGGCGAACGTACTTCAAAGTAACGTCGTCTCTACCAGCATTGGTACAGCCATTCCCCAGCTGACCCTGTGAAAGGACCATCATAACAGCAGAGGAAGTATGGCTTGCTATAGGAAGGACAAAGAACGGCAAGGCTTCCGCTCCAGATGACATAGCAAGCGAATTCTGGGAACAATGCCGATGGCTCGGTCCCTCATGGCTTGCAGGCCTCCTCAATCAGGTCATCAAAGCTAAGAGCATGCCCGATGATTGGTCAAAGAGCACATGATTCCGATATAAAGAAAGGCGATATCGCAGATTGTTCAACGTATCGGCCAATCTGGCTGATGAGCCACACTCTGAAGATCTTTGAAAGAGTACTTGAAACACGGCTTCGAGCGATCATAGAGTTTCCATCCAATCAGTGCGGATTTGTGAAGGGTACTGACGATCCATAGATATGGAGAAGTATAGAGAAAAACGAGGAGAGCTGCATGCGGCTTTCCTTGATATGGAGAAAGCTCTCGACAAGGTACCCCATGATGTCATATGCTGGGCACGCGAAAGAACATGGTTCCAGAAGTATACGTCCAATGGATAAAAATGATCTATCACGGGCCACGAGCCATGTGCAGACCGCGGCAGGACAGTCAAAACCATTCCGTAGAAAGACCGGTGTGCATCAGAGATCGGTGCTCTCCCCTCTACTCTTCGTCACGGTCATGGATGCAGTGACGAAAGGTCTCAGCGATAGCCTCCATGGGCTCGCCTGTATGCAAACGATGTGGTGTTGATGGCAGAAAACAGAAAAGAACTTGAAGAAAAAACACAGAGATGGAAGGACCAACTAGGGTCGTATGGCTCAAAGCTCAACACAAAGAAGACGGAATATATGGAAGTGGGAGGTCAAACATCAAAAGCCATATATATCGATGAGAACTCAATCAAGAAAACTACCTTTAAGTACCTAAAAAGTTGCACCTCTGACGAAGGTGGTCTTCAAGATGAAATATCTGCCAGGACAAACGCATCCTTGCTGAAATGAAGAACCTTCAAAGGAGTTCTATGCGACAAGCGAATGCCAGTGTAACTCAAGTCCCAAATATACCGTACTGTGATCCGTCCAGCAGCGCTGTATGGCAGCGAATGTTGGCCATTTATACAAAAGAACACAAGCTTAGTGTCATAGAGACAATCATGCTGCTGTGAAAATTAAAAGATGAAAGTTGCTCCCGTCGTCAAGAAGATGCATTAAAAACGACCGCAGTGGTACGGGCATGTGAGAAGGAATGAAAGTTGCATCACAAGGATGGCAATGTCTCTGGAAGTCGCTGAAAAAAGACCATGGAGAAAGCCAAAGATGAGGTGGAAGGAAAGAGTCAGAGTCGACTTGAGTGAGTTCAGGATAAATGAACATTATGCCTTGAATCGAGAATACTGGAGATAGTTGACTCGTAAGCAGACCTTGCGTATGCGGGAAAATGATTTAAAAAAAAAGAATGAAAAGATTTAAAAAAAGAGCGAAACAAGCCAAATTGTGACAGAATTCCTTTAAAGATTCTGGAGGAAGGCAAGGATGTCAACTTGCGTACAAGGGTAACTTTTTTTGCTGATTGTTCAAAATTAATGATTTTATATGTACGCTTCGCCTGCAATTGCCTAAATGGGGCAGACTACCGCTGTATATACCACGTATGCAGGTGGGAAAGTATGTATGGAGTACCGCAAAAACTATTCCGCTTAGGAGGGGATACGGTAATTGACTGGAAAGCGCTGTTCGTATTCCCAAAAGAATGGACAGCATGAGATCGAGCATTTTTGCTCCCTTTAGTCGAAAAGTATATGATTTTCGCATTCCTCAGGTAACCTAAAATTTCTTATCTTGAACATAATTGGTTCGATGCAACAGAGCTGCTGTGGATGCATTTCAGGTCTTGATCCTTCTATCTGCATCTTATTTGGTAACGATCTGAGTAATGAACTATTCCCACGATCGTTAGACGTTAGCATTCTCAGAAAGTTGCTGGGTTTGGCTTGAAACATCGGTCCACAGCTGAATCTATTTCATTTGATAAGACTTTTGAGGGAGCATTGAATCAAAGCTATAATTAGCAAAACAGCGTTGTTGCCTCTTTCATTTTTTATTATGAACCCTTATTTCCTTGGTCTATATCTAAAAAGAATAATTGTTTTCCAGATTGTAAATTCTGAAAAATGTTAAATATGTAACCCATTTAAATTGGTGTATCTTCTGCATTTATGAGACACCGCACTCAATACGTAGTGAAGTAGCGTGTGGAACAATTTCTGCACAAGGCAGAAGATCCAAATCCAATGAATTTCAGCATTTTTCACGTGAGATCGATGAGAACAAAAAAAAATGGGAACACGATGGCATCCAGTATGGATTCTTATAACTCCTGCGGTGAATAAATAAACAAA